GTCTTGCTGATCATACCAAGCATTAGATCTTCATTATGGCGAATATCACAAGCAGAGGAAGAGGTGGTGAGGTCCGTAACTAGTGCTGCTATTGAGCTGCATGAGGCTTCATCAAAACGAGCTATCTTCATCCTGCGAGGAAGCACAACCGGCATGGCAGAACAGTTCAGCGCCCACAATGTTGCTAATCCTTTTGTCATGCACACAACAGAACAGGGTACAAGTATGTCCTTCTTAGAACAGTTCTTGCGTAGAGGCCCCACTATGAGGTCAACACAAGCAGCATCAACCGTTGTGAAAGAGACTCGAACGGGTGTCAGGCACCAAGATGGTGCTATCACTTCATCAATCACACTAAGTGTGTTCCTGTCTTCGCCACGGTAGTCTTCTTCGAAAGCGACGGTAGAAACAAATTGTTTAATGATATTTCCCCACTACCACAGTCGACGGAAGCACCGCATTGCTCCAGAAAATTGATACCAAGAATTACATTGTGCGAACAACGAGATAGAACCATAAATTCAGATACAAATACTTTTCCAGCCAATGAAACACTCACAACGCATACACCAAGAGGATTAAGCCACTCGCCACCTACACCACGAAAGGTGATTGTATCGTTCCATGAAAACATAACTTTGCGACCTAAGCGGTTTCTGAAGGCGAGGCTCATCACAGACACAGTATCCCCAGTATCAGCTAATGCCATCGTCGGTATTCCATCAATCAACATATTCACTTTGTTTTTCAGCATCACAACAGGCAGAGGTATATCTTGAAAAGACCGTCCGGCGACCTCACCTCCATTGGCCGCGGATGCTAGTTTCCCGGCCGCGGCGGCGGAGAAGAATGACGCAGAGGAGACGGCGAGCGACGAGAACGGTTAGGATGGTGGTGTGAAACTCCGCTCGGATGCCTGGCGAATCGCTGCGTCTAGTCTCGCGCGAAAAACGGTCCCTCGGAAACAAGTCAGTTGTCCGCATGTCATATGAAGCACCGGGTCTTGGTGGCGAAGACATGGCTGGTGTCCTTCGTGATTGGCGGCGTTGTTGGCGGCAATACCGAGCGATATGTCCAGTGAAACCACAGTTGTAGCGCACGGTAGGGTCACGGTTTATACTATATTCATCGGAACGAATTCTGGCCGCTGCTGTCGGTGAGGAAGTTCGTTATCAGGCGAAGAACGAGTTTCTGCTATTCTTTGGAATCCATTGTATTCGTCGTAAGTTGCATCTTGGTAGTAGGGTCGGTACTGTCCTTGCCGCAGCGGGACGTAGTCAGGCTGAGAGTCCTGAGTATAAGAACGCGGCTGTCCTCGTCGTGATCGAGCGTCATAGGCAGGGCCTCTATTGTAGAGACTTGGCTGATAGTGAGGTGTGGTATTAGAATCCTCAATGCCCTTCGTCACTCGTTGCGAGGAGAATGAAGCAATGTTTCGCTCGAACTCTGTTGGCAGGTAGGGGGGATTAGTGCTTGGGTGGTGTGCCACTTGTGCGTACAGGCCGTGTTCTTCGCGTACTATTTGCCGGATTGTTGATGCAAGATCAAGCACCTGGTTGCTGTCTATACTCGCGATAGTCGTCACATTACTAGCCTGCCGAACTTCGGCGTGATGCGGCTCGTCTTCACTTGCTCAAAAGTGCGGCAATGGCGAATGACATCGGCGACAGATGTCATGGTGTCTTTCGCGATGAGGAAACTGTAAACATCCTCGGCGATTCCTTTAAGAATGTGCCCGACTTTGTCTTCCTCAGACATTCTGGAGTCAATGATCTTACATAGCTTTATTACTTCCTCAATGTAGGTCATGCACCTACATTGAGCGCATTTCACCTGGCACTACATTTCACCTGGCACTTGAGCGCGTTGCATTAGCGTCTGTTCTGCTCTTTTCTTTTTCGTTGTTGGGTCGCCGAAAAGCTCTTTCAGAAACAAATCTGTCCCACGTCGTTAGTGTTTCCTCCCGATTCTCGTACCTCATTGATGCAGTATCCGTCAGAAAACGCGATGTACAGAAGCTGACAAGCAGCATCCCATTTGTTGGCGGTGCTCACCCGTTTGTAATGGATGAGCCAAGCCTACACGTCTTCATCAGGTATGCCGGCGAAAGGACGAGCATCTCTCAGTTGTTGAGCCGAACTGGTCGGCGCAGAAGTCGAGAGGGGTTGGTGTTCATCTGATTTGTGGGACATGTCCAGCCCAGATGGATTCGGTGGAAGTCCAGCAAGGCGACGGCTTTGTCGAAGAACTTGCGGTTCAGCCTTCGTCTTCGGGTGTCGATTACCCAGCACCTCCACCTCAACTGTTACAGCGAGCTGTGATGAAATGGCTTATTTACAAGAGGTGAGTGATGGTCGTTCGCGACAGCGCACTGCGATCTTGCCAAGACTCTTCGTCTTCCTCTCCTTCTCTTCTCTGCCTTTTACTAGCCCGTTACAATATGTTATACGACAGTACTTTGCCGAAAGGCTGCAAAGCAGAGACAACCGCGTCGTCGGACATGTACGGCGGCAACCTATACACACTCACTAACAAACTTGGTATGGCCGACGACTTCCACTTGAACTTTTTTCTTCTGAAGGACAAAACCTTCATTCACCATGAGCTTGATGGCTTGTTCCGCTGTCCTCTGTCGCTACAAAGAACTTCAAAGCACCGAGGTGTTGCAGGAACAGCACTCATTCACTATCGGTCATTTCTTCGAGACACTCGATGATCTCATCGATGGAGACCACGCCTTCAAGAACAGTAAACGTGAAAAGATGTTCTTTTGGTGGGGTGCGTACTGGCCTCGACCCCATCCTCTCAGGGGCCCCAGGGGTTGGTAACTTATCGGCCGAAGCCCCGGGAATCCTTACTGTGGGTGAGACGCCAAAGGGACGACGCCGTAACGCTGGATGCACGCGTCGGCGAGAGCCGTTCTCACACAATTAAACACGAACGCTGACAAAAGAGCGTTTTCCGCGCACGCCCAACGAGTTTAACGTGGCAATTTTTCGGGTCAGGTATTGCTCAAAGTGCGCCCTTGTGTTACTAGTTTTCTCTTGGAAGCCTCGAATTCGAGGCAAATTTTATTGAAGATCAAGTCACTACCACCAGTCTCTGCTGAGTATTTCTTCGAAAACAACTATATTTTAATTTATAATTAACATAACCTTTAGACTAAGAAGTTAAAGCCACTTTTTGTCAAAGTTGGCTCCTCCAGAAAAGAAGCATGTTTCTGAGATCTTTGGAGGGCAAAAGCTGACTTCACTACTGCTGGTAAAGCATTGCAGGAGCTTTCACTCCAGCTATTTCCTTTAAACCTCCTTGGTGTCGAAGCCATAGAGTTTCTCACAAATACCTAGAGGGAAATGTAGCACTACCGTCTATGCGAATTTCTTAAGGGGTGATGTTGGAGCGCTGGGAATGATGGTATATGTGTCTGTGCGAGGCTTGTGTTGGCTGGTGTTCAGCAAGGCTTCGGCTCAAAAGAGAATACGACTGCATAAATGAAGCTTTACTAAAACAAAATTTATAGGCTGATCTCATTCGCGCTTATTATTCTAAAATAAAAGTCCATTTACCTTGACGGCACCATCAAATGGCGAAAAAAAGAAACAGGCGGCTTAGAAGTGGTGGAGAGAACGCTTGCTTGTCGTGTGCCTGCCAAGTTTAGCGGCTGTTGGTTACTTCTTATGCTTCGTAAAATTGTACATCAATGTATAAGGTTCTAGTGTTAAATACGTGTTTTTGTGCAACAACAAAAATAAATAGCTTATTACGTGCTCTTAGTAAGAAATCAATCATTTTACCGTGAAGCCAGACGCATCTTCGAGGTATACAAATTCGAATGAAGTTCGAAGCTCACGTATCCCATCAATCTCTTTCATCCAGCAGCTCACTAGCGCCAGATATCCCTCTAGGTATGATTGTGAGAAACTCTATGGTCGAGGCCATGTGTAGTTTCCGTGCATTTGAGTTTGCGGGGCAGCTAAAGTCTCTAGATTATTTCCCAGTAGGGGTAAACATTATTCTAAAACTCATATGGTGCCTGCTATGTCCGCAGCGCCTGCAAACGTTATTCTAACTATGTCCGCAGCGCCTGCAAACGTTATTCTAAAGCTCCCTAATAGTTAGGGTTCGTGCAGCGCTTGTCTCGTCCTTTTCCTGTATTTTTTTGTGCTGTTAAACCTTAAGTATGCTAAACCAACTAGCCCAAGCAGCCACTTAGTGCAGCACTATTTTGGAAGATTGGGTTATCATTGTTCTGGTTACTGGTTTAAAGTTTTCCTTGCACCAATTTCATTAGGTTTTAGTAGTGGAGCGTTGCTTGGGTTACTGGGCTATGACCCGAAGTTTAGAAATTCTGGTAAACGTAATTGGAACTTGACTGTTATTTTTAGGTTTCAGTCATCATTAGATAGGCGCTTGCATGCAAATCGTCATTTTAAAGAAAGTAACAAGTCTGCCCCTGTGATGTTTACATAAATGCTCTGAATTCTAAGAATAGCCGCACGTGGTCGTTTGTTTTGTATGCACCTGTGCCTTTTTTTCTTTGCAAATTGAAAAAGCAATCGTGTGCACAACACGAGACACCATGTTCAGTTTGGCTGAACTCCATGCCGGGCCATGGTCGTGTGTGCCATCCTTCGTCCTGCTAGAAGTGTGAATTAGGCATGAAGAGCGAGGCATATGCCTGATGTGTAACTCTGTATATGAGATGCTGATGTACGTGTCACCGGCAAGCTTTTTGTAAATCGCAAGGCCCAGCCAAACTATAGCATGTTAGTGCTGCTTTTAAGATGTTCCGTCTTAAAACAACACAAATAAGTTTGCTTGATTTGTAAATATAATCATATTTATTTTCATTGAGGAGAGCCTTGGCGGAGGCAGCGCATTTTTATGTTTCGTTGCATCCATTACACAAAAACTAGACCTGACATTGCTCTCGGCCGTGCACAAAACTAGGCACAGTCATTAAATCGTATTTATTGTTACTGTTTTTTTTTTTTTTGCAGCCAATGTCGTCTTCTCTATGATCCACTCCGGCTGTAGGATCTCCCTGGACAATGTGCCATTTCGTGTTGTCAAGGAAACCGTCAAAGTCTGCGTATTCGGAACGGAATACTATAAGAAGACTCTACAGAAAAAGAAGGACCTGGTATGTCTTATGGTTACGTGCTTGCGAACCAGGCTCATAGGCAGTCATTATGGAAGATAGAAGTGGGGCGCAGTACTTAACACGGACTTGAGGAGAGAAGAACACGGACTTGAGTGTTCTCTTCGCCAGGCCGTGTTGAGTACTGCACCTTATGTCTATCTTTCATAATAAAATGCTACCAACTAGCTCAAATGGCCGTTTTGCTTCATAACCAGTCAGCCAGACGAAGGAAGAGCTAAAGGACTTGCCCCCTCCCCTCCTCGAAAATTCGAATGAAGTGGGCTGTTTTGCCGTACATAAATAATAAAAGTATAGGTTTTTCATGGCCTTCAAGAAGTGTACCCCCTTTCCCCCCAAATAAAAATCCTGGTTATGGGCCTGTTACAAATGTTTCAGTCTCGTGCAGGTATCCAGAAGCTTTCCTATTCTAAGATTATGTGCAGGCAGTGTAGAGAGAGAGAGAGAGAGTATGCTAGAGAAGGAAAGGCAAGGAGGTCAACCAGACCAGTGTGACTGGTTTGCTGCCATCCCATTCCTATGTGTACATAGGAATGAAATGGGGGAGATTGCAAGAAGGAGAGAGGAAGAAAGATAACTCCTCACTCAGCGTTATGTTACTATAGGTTAGGTTACTCCAGGTTTGCTCCAGAAATCAATATTTTTGATTTCATTCACAGGGTTCCAACATCATTGACTGGCCAAAGGAGGTGCGTGAAAAGAAGCGAATGAATCTTCAAGGAACAAAGAAGAAGGGCTGTGCAGCAACAATGACCTTGAAATGGATTGAATTGTATCCAGGTTATAAGGTACTTGAATATACAACCACAACTAAGAATATTCGTGGGTTATTTTCTGGGGACCTTTAACATGGCACTTAGGTCTGTGCAAACCAACAGAAAACAAGCAGTTTTAAAAAATACACATTGTCCTCGTAGTGCCTCATGAATAATTTGTAGCGGATGTCCACTATTATTGCTTCTGCTGATAGTAGGGGGCTTTAGTAGAGGGATCAGATAACGATGCCTCCTCTCCTCTATGACAGTCTTGAACACATGTTGTGTATCATTACGGTATCGTTATCGGGGCTAAGGAATGGTCCGCTAAAACTCCCTAATATCAGCTTTTTCTGTTGACCCGAGTGCACTATGCAGACAAACTTGTTTGGCATAAAGTGGGGCACCTAAAAATTTGTTACTGTTTGCTTTAAACAGGTTTGTTTTGGCTAGTTGGTCAATAATTAATATGATTTAAAATGGCACTTCAAGATAAAGACAAAGTGATGAATCAACAGAAGATAGCACTTTTTAACTCAAAATTGAAAGTTTATTGCCACTATTTACAGTAATATATATATATATATATATATATATATATATATATATATATATATATATATATATATATATATATATATATATATATATATATATATATATATATATATATATATATAAACTTCGAGAATAGTGCAGCATAGGAAACAAAACAATAAAATATTTATTTAATCCTAACAGTTTCGGCTAATGGACCTGCCTTCTTCGGAGGATCTAAGTGAAATGATACAAGTTCCCGTTGCAGAGGGCCACCCTCACAGTTTGAAGACCCCCAAAACGAAAAAAAGAAAAAGAAAAAACGAGAGAAACGGGCGAACGAGGCAGCAACAGACAAGAAGAAGAAAGAGAGGAAGAAAAAAGGAGCGACGGAGAGCCGCCAGAAAAGGCGGGTAATCCTTGCATTGTTACTAAGGATAGATAAGACGCGCCACCAGTGGAGGCGACCAAGGAAAAGGGAAAAAGTGAAACATATTGCCGCTTACTCGCATCCCACACATAGATTGAGTTAAAGTTCACGTGGTTCGAGAAGCATACGACCCGCTCCAGCTTTAGGAAAATATTGGCCAGGGTGGAAAGCTAATTTTCCCTCTCCCCCTCACCCATCTGCCCTCTCTTGCAGAAAAGTGTACAACCAGTCATACTAAAAATAAATTAATGGGTATTCTTTAAAGGATGAATAAACAAAAATGTAAACAAAAAATAATAAAAAATTAATATAGTATAAAAGAAGTACTTAAACATAAAAATAAAGTAATAATACTAACACACACCGGTTGGTGCACGTAGCATCGAATTCGTTTATTTTCACGCGCTATATTGATCATCCTATGTGTGCGACTTCACATATGTATAAATAAATTAATTGAGTAATTCACTTTCTGTGTTTCACGAAACTTCGCGGAGGCACGTCAGTCGCCCAGGGCTCTCGTTGATTTCGTGGGTAAGTGATCTGAATTTCTTTATAAAGTATGACTCCTGCTGTTCGCGCTACGGTGTGTTCTGCAAGACGAATTGTACAAGTATGACACTTACGCGTTCGAAAGAGTGACCAGGAAGGTTGATATGTTTGGAGAACGGCAAATTGGGGAGGCCCTTTACGTGTTCCCTGTGGTTGTTGAAACGCAAACAGAACGCGGGAACTTCAATAATTTCGCTTAGATCCTCCGAAGAAGGCTGGTTCACCTGCTGAAACTGTTAGGATTAAATAAAGATTGTTTTGTTTCCTATACTGCACTATTCTCGAGATTTATAACTTTAATTACGGTAGCCGGAAAAAAGTCTCATCATATATATATAAATAAATATATATATATATATATATATATATATATATATATATATATATATATATATATATATATATATATATATATATATTGTAACGCACTCTTCAATAAACGCTTTTAATACGCTAACGTACGCTGGGCGAACTTGTGCCCGAGAATAATAGCACAGCTAGATTGTCTGGAGGATTCCCTTCTGCCTCTTCTTCTACGTTCGTCTTTTTTCCCAACACGGTTCGCGCGCAGCTGGGTCCCACAGGCTTGTGCGTCGCAAATCATCTAGAAGGCACAAGTATTTGCTAGCGTGCGTAATTTGAAGTCACCTTGTGTCATTGCCCCCCTTTCCAGAGTGCATCGTCCCGATGCTTGTGTCAAACTGGTCGCATGACAGTCATTCACAAACCCTAGTTGGGGATGTCGTTAACGTCAAGGAACGTTGTATCTTCAGCGTTTCATTGCCTGTCGTGATATGGTTTCATCCTGACGACATGCACAGTTTCCGTGCGATGCAGCCGTCGGGATTGAATATCCTGTCCCTCTGGCATAACTTCGTAGTTGAGCGAGCCGACGCGACGGAGCACTCTGTACGGACCGAAATAGCGGCGAAGCAGTTTTTCTGACAGGCCACGTACTCGTACAGGAATCCACACCCATACTCTGTCTCCTGGTGCGTACTGGACGTCTCTTCTTCGCAGATTGTATCGATGCGTGTCGGTTTTCTGCTGTTGGAGAATGCGATATCGTGCCAGCTGTCTGGCTTCTTCTGCTCTTTGTATGTAGTCGTGAATGTCATAGTAATTCTCGGGCGTCTCGTCAATAGGTAACATTGCATCTAAAGGTGTCGTTACCGTCCGGCCAAAAACAAGTAGGAATGGCGTCATCCGTGTTGTCTCTTGCATCGCAGTGTTATAGGCGAATGTTGCATAGGGTAATATTTTATCCCAAGTACGGTGTTCTATATCAACGTACATTGACAACATATCAGCCAGCGTTCTGTTCAGTCGTTCCGTAAGACCATTTGCTTGAGGATGATATGCCGTCGTTTTTCCATGACTGGTGTGCATCAATTTCATGATACATTTCATCAGGTCGGCCGTAAATGCAGTCCCTCGGTCCGTGATCAACGCTTTTGGAGCTCCGTGCCGCAGTACTATGTTGGAGACGAAAAATTCGGCTACTTCAACGGCTGATCCTTTAACAAGAGTAGCTGTCTCGGCATATCTGGTTAAATAGTCGGTGGCTACTATTATCCACCGTTTTCCTGATGACGACGTAGGAAATGGGCCCAGTAAGTCCATTCCCACTTGTGTGAATGGGGCTTCTGGTGGTTCTATCGGTTGAAGGAGACCTGCTGGTTTTAGCGGTGGCGTCTTACGTCTTTGGCAGTCCCGGCAGGTTCTGACATAGTGTCGTACAGAGCTAAGCAACTTCGGCCAGTAGTATTTAGTGCGGATGCGTGCTAACGTTCTGCTTACTCCTAAGTGTCCAGCTGATGGATCGTCGTGGCAAGCCTCCAAAATCTCTGGTCGCAGAGGTGAAGGGACGACAAGCAGGAATGTCGCTGTATTGTTGTCAAAGTTCCTTTTATACAGGATGTTGTTTCGTAGAACAAACGCTGACAAGCCGCGGACAAAAGGTCGTGGAACGTCGACAGACTGTCCTTGTAGGTACTTGATCAAGAGGAGTATCTCAGGGTCGGATCGCTGCTGAAGTGCCATCTCTGATGGTGTCACAGCTCCCAATAAAATAAAATCTTCACCATTCTCGGTGGAAGCAGAAGCAGCAGGTTGAATCGGAGCACGTGACAAGCAGTCCGCATCACTGTGCTTGCGACCGGACTTGTACACAAGCGTGATATCATACTCCTGTAATCGCAAGCTCCATCGTGCAAGCCGTCCACATGGGTCCTTGAGATTAGCCAGCCAGCATAGCGAATGATGGTCGCTTATAGCCCGAAAAGGCCTGCCATATAAATATGGTCGAAACTTGCTGATAGCCCATACCACGGCAAGACATTCTTTCTCGGTCGCTGAGTAGTTCACCTCAGCTTTCGAAAGAGTGCGACTGGCATACGCAATGACTCGTTCTTGTCCGTTTTGCCATTGGATGAGCACGGCCCCAAGACCTAAATTGCTTGCATCTGTGTGGATATCGGTTTCCGCTTCCTCGTCAAAATGCGCCAGAACAGGATGGCTTTGAAGGCACTTTAGTAGTTCATTGAAGGCATCCTCTTGTTCGGCAAGCCATACGAAAGGCATTTCCTCTTTTGTCAGCCGTGTCAGTGGTTCAGCAATTCGTGAAAAATTTTTAACGAACCGTCGATAATAGGCGCAGAGACCTAAAAATCGCCTAACAGCCTTTTTGTCTGTTGGCTTCGGAAATTTTGCTACGGCCTCAGTTTTTGCAGGGTCTGGGCGGACGCCTTCTGCACTGATGACGTGGCCGAGAAAAAGGAGCTCACGGAAGCCGAAATGACATTTCTGCGGTTTTATCATCAAGTCCGCTGATTTGATCGCAGTGAGCACGGCCCGGAGCCTTTCCAAATGTTGCTCAAAGGTAGCAGAGAAAACTACAACATCGTCGAGATACACCAGACATGACTGCCATTTAAGACCACAGAGCACTGAGTCCATCATCCGTTGGAATGTGGCGGGTGCTGAACAAAGGTCAAAAGGAAGTACCTTGAACTCGTATAAACCGTCAGGTGTCACAAACGCTGTCTTTTCGCGATCTCTTTCGTCAACTTCTATCTGCCAATACCCACTTTTAAGATCCAATGAGGAAAAATACCTGGCATTTCGCAGCCTATCCAGAGTGTCATCAATTCTTGGCAGAGGATAAACATCCCGTTTGGTGACGGCATTCAGCTTCCGATAATCAACACAGAAACGTAAGGTTTGGTCTTTTTTCTTCACAAGAACAACAGGTGACGCCCATGGACTTGATGAAGGCTGGACTACATCGTTTTTGAGCATTTCTTTAACCTGATTACCAATAGCTTCTCTTTCTCTTGGTGACACTCTGTAGGGATGCTGGTGTATCGGCCTCACTGACTCGTCGACAATGATGCGATGTTTGGCGACAGGAGTGCGTCGAACCTTAGATGACAACGAGAAACATTCGGCGAATTCCCTTAAAAGACCCTCTATTTGCTCTTTTTCGCTCGGTAGTAGGCCTGGCTCGATGTCGATGGCTGCAAGGACAGACTCCACGTCTTCGAAATCAGAATCATTGGTTTCAAAAGTTCGCAGCTCCGTAACCTGGACGAAATCATTCAGACTGGCGATGACGGTTCCTTTTGCAACATGCTGCACCTCATTTCCAAAGTTTGTGAGTAGAACGTTTGCACATCCGTCACGTAACTTAATAAGGCCTCGTGCCATGCAGATCCCTTTTTGGAGTAGTAAGGCAGTGTTGTTGTCAGCAAATCCTTCAAATTCACTGAATGCTTTGTTGTTTACTGCGACAGATATGCTCGATCTTGGCGGCACCATGACGCCATCATCTGCAATACAAAGGTCATATACGTTTTCTTCCGTTTCAAAGGTAGCAATCGCGTGCCTAGTCGAGAATGAGACGGAAGATTCTCGCAAGTTAATTACAGCGCCATTAGCTCGTAAGAAATCCATGCCGATAGTCAAGTCTCTTGAGCATTCCGGCAGCACAATAAAACTGGCAACGTACGTGAAACCCCGTATTCCGATTCTTGCTGTGCATATTCCAGTAGGGTCGATGAGGTGCCCTCCTGCTGTGCGAACTTGTGGTCCCTTCCAAGGAGTCAGCACTTTCTTTAGTATTTTAGAAAGTCCGCTACTCATCACTGAATAATCTGCGCCGGTATCTACCAGTCCGATGACTTCATAGCCGTCAACGAACACACGTAAATTGGAAGCAACGTCACTATCAAAGCACCGGTTTCTGAATCGGTCGTCGTTGATAGTCAGCACTGGAGGTTTTTCTGCATTAGCGTCGACAGCGGCCTTGCCTCCACAGGTCGCTGACTCTAGTTTTCCCGACGTGGGCTTGGGGAACGAGACCTTGGGGAGCTTGCTGAAGGTCGGGGGCTAGGCGATCTATACCTCCCCGTTGTCGTTGCCCGAGGTCGGTGTCGTTGGAAGCCATTTGAGGTTTGACGACCTGACAGGTATTCTTCAATTTCGAAGGGACGTTCACCATTTCGTGGTCGAGGTGCATTAACAGGAAAACCACGTAGTCCTGCCTGGCGGTAGTGGCACGTTCGGTAGAGATGACCAGGCTCCCCACAGTGGTAACACAGCGGTATCCTGTCGGGGGTGCGCCAGACATCGCTCTTTCTTAGTCTCCTCTCTGGCGTTGGCTGCAGGGTGCTCGGCGGCATCGGGTACTGCATAGGTGTAGCCACCGCGACGTCCGCACGTCCTGGAGGTCCTCGTAGTAGGACATCAGCATACGTCATTCTCGTCTGCTGTTGTAGTGGCGGCCCTGGCTGTGCGTTGCTCGAAGGTTCGCGTACCACCTGCCTGACCTCCTCACGGATCACATCGGCCAGAGACGAAATCATTGGAGTGTTCTGGTCAAGACGCTGCCTCTGCAGCTCTTCTCGCACAACAGACCGCACCAGCTCGCGTAGTGCTTCCATGCCGTTACCGAAGGCTGGTGGCAACATGTCCAAGGAAGTGACGATCGCATCCCGGTTGTATAACCTTGCTCGCTGTTGTAGCGTCCTTTCCATTGTAGTAGCCTCGGAACGAAACTCGGCGACGGTGCGCGGCGGGCTTCGAATTAGTCCGGCAAAGAGTTCTTGCTTCACGCCTCGCATCAGATGGCGCAGCTTCCTGTCTTCGCTCATATTTGAATCCGCTCGGTGGAATAAGCGAGACATGTCTTCCACATACATGGCGACAGTTTCGTTATTGCGCTGATTTCTTGTCTGGAGCGCAGCTTCAGCTCTCTCTTTGCGGTCTGTGTTCGGGAAAGCAGCGAGCAGCTCCCGTCGAAAATCATTCCATGACCGGAAGGTGGCTTCGTGGTTTTCATACCACGTTCGTGCGCTATCTTCCAGTGCGAAGTAGACACTTCCAAGTTTGCGCTCTTCCCCATATCCGTTAGCCTTTGCGACACGTTCAAAGTGCTCAAGCCAGTCCTCTGCGTCCTCGTAGCTTTCCCCGTGGAAAGGCTTTGGTAGCATTGGCTGGTTTACTACAATGTTGGCTGGAGTGACCTGAGCTGTCATGTCAGTTGCGTACCCGTTCACAGCCGTTGATGTTCCAAGCGAAGTCGATAAAGGTGAAAATTCAGGACCCTCACCACGTAGGCGTCGACTGCAGCGCTGATGAACAGGCGTCAGCTCGTTGGGTCGAAATCGCTGTGGTTCTGGACTGTGCTCCGTCACTCGAGAGGGGCTTGGCATCATACCCAGCACCTCCACCAGATTTGTAACGCACTCTTCAATAAACTCTTTTAATACGCTAACGTACGCTGGGGGAACTTGTGCCCGAGAATAATAGCACAGCTAGATTGTCCCGAGGATTCCCTTCTGCCTCTTCTTCTACGTTCGTCTTTTTTCCCAACACGGTTCGCGCGCAGCTGGGTCCCACAGGCTTGTGCGTCGCAAATCATCTAGAAGGCACAAGTATTTGCTAGCGTGCGTAATTTGAAGTCACCTTGTGTCATTATGCACGTGAAAAATAGCAAGAAAATGCATACCATAACGAAATGTAACACACGGAGAGTCTCGGCATTCAAGCTGAGACTATATGTCTTGTACTCTTTTGATTTTTCATCCTCTGTTCATTCCCACGTGTACACATTCGGGAAAAATAGAAATAAAATTTGTGTTCTTCTTTCAGTGCTTCCTTCTTACCCTATCTTGGCACACTGTCTTAAACTGTGAAGTATGCTCAATATATGTGACAATGCCTACTTTCTAGGTGGACGTACCCCAGCCATGCGGCCAGACAAGACAGGGTCGTCTGAAAGCGGACAAGGCCAAGCAGTTGCAGGAGGCTCTCGGGAAGCAGCAGGCTGTAACCAAAGAAACACGAGTATACCTTAGAATCGCCGACTGCAGCTCTCATAACCATGGATTCGAGAACATTGAAGCTTTTAGCCATAATATGGACAGTAGGAAACGTTCGTTAACATCCCGTATCACACCTGTCATTCATGGCTACCTTCCTGACAAAGAAACAAAATTTTATGAGGAAGCAAGGAGGCAGTCATCAGTGTGCGGACATTACAGTGAAAATGTTCCTGCATACCTGCGCAATCGGCCTCACGGGTTTGTTAAACATATGTTGAGGCGGCTTGTTAATGCAGAGGAATACACCCACACAGACATGAAAGAGCTGCCCATTGAAGGCATGTTCTCTGTTCGTTCTGAAAGGAGTGATGATGATGTGTACATAGTTGACTTCACAAAGCCATCGTGTACCTGCCCTGACTTCAGGAAGCATAAGTATCCCTGCAAACACTTTTGTGTTGTTTTCAAGTACAGTGACAGGTGGGGCTTTTCCTCTCTTCCGCAGAGTTACCTCAATCAACTGCAAAGTACACTTGGAAGCTGTCCACAAGCAGGAACAGGTTCTGAGATTCCTCTTGTCAATGAGCCCAGCTCGTCCGAAGTGTCGCCACAGCCTTTTGGCCCAGCAGTATCAGAGTCGGACATTCCCTTGATTGAATCAATCATTGGTGAAGTGCCCTCACAGCCTGCAATCGCTTTGGTTCTTGGTCCCTCACTATCAGAGTTGCGCAAAAGTATAACCGAGGAATGGGAGAAGTGCAGTTCCCTCCTTAACAGCTGTCGTGATGTTCAAACACTGTTGGAGGCTAAACGCTTATTGCAAGCCACTTTCCGTAAGTTAGCTGAATCTGTGCCACGTACTTCAGGCCTTCACACACCGACAAAGGGATGCTCGTCTTTGGAGCCCCCTCGATAGAGAAAGCGCCTATAGTTTGCCATCACTCTGCCATTAATTGGTTGACTGTTTGCAGGAGCTTTGGCTCGGACTGATTGGAAAAGATCAAGGGGGAACTTTCAAGAGATGGCGACTCAGCGAGCTTTTACATTGTTTAAAAAAATTACAAACGTAAAAACTCAATTTTTACCACATGTATAATACTTACTCTATAACCCTCTCTTACTCTCAATGAAGCTTTCTGCCTTTTCGGCGGCCTCCAAAGGAAGCATTATCTTGCTCGGGGTTTCGTTTTGAATGACGAATGCACAGCTTCTGTACCCAAAGTGTCGCGAGGCCTGTCAGTTACTATTAAATTTCTGAATTGTCCGACCTTACCAACTTTGTAGCCATTAGGGTAGTAAATTAGGTAATCTTCAAGCCTCACTGCAAATTGTGACTATGTCCCATCTGTCATTTTTTCGATTGAGTAAAAAGGCGGCAATACTCTGTGGAAGACAGTCTGAGACCTTTGAGCACTGTTTCTTTAAGCATGTTAAAATCCTTCCTTTCAACTGCACTGAGTCGAACAAGCAAGCTCCTGGCTCTCTTGTTTAGTCGGGGCAACATGAGCCCCGCTCTCCACTCAAGTGGTACATCATAGCAATCAAATGTGGCCTCGATGTCGTCGAACCATGACAGAACGAGCCATACCTGCGTAGGCATGGGCAGCAACACGTCCTTTAACAGGCTCGTGTACTTCCTCCTCCTGTCCTCACTCCGAGCTGCCTCTGTGTTCTCGGCATTTGCAGCGGCATTGGCACTGTTATTTCTAAGCCATCCCATTGCTATTTCCATCTCCGTAACGCGTTGCTGCATTTGTAACATTGTCATCTAGTCGGAGCCTGACCCCCCTGAAGGCTCTCCTGTGACCCTAGTCATCTCAACGTTCAAGCCCACATCCGTCAGCCCCCCACTTTGGTCTGGTTCCATTTGCCCCACCCCGCCACTACGCAAGTTATACCCACTGGTCATAACAAGCTGTCAGCCAATAGAGAAATTCAACACCCACCTGCGCACCTTGTGCTTCCAGCAGTAGCGGCTACAGCCTCGTCAGCTCACGCCCCAGATGAGTCCGTCACCCTGGAGTCAGCCCGTGTCTGCTCTTCCATCACGATGGATGTTGTTCCGATCTTCTCAGCAGGACATCCTGTCGACTGCGCCTGTGAAGTTCGTGTGTGTGCCCCTTTCTTCCGGTGCGAACCGACAAAGCAGGCTCTCGTATGTCGCTGCTGAAAATGAGACTCCGACTGTTTGTATGCAGTTGGTTTATTCACCATGTGCACTCAGCACGCTCCGGAATTCGTTTCTTTCCCTACGCTCCCGATGTGTCTGTTATAAACACTGCTGCACGGGGTCTTCATAAGTTCATGCACGGTGTTCTCAGGCAAAGGTCACATCCCACGGTTTGGGCACAACGCTCGAATGCCTCCAGTCGTCGGGCCATTTAGCGCAGAAGAGTCGCAGTCCGTGGCGAGCACTTGAAGTCATAAATTGGAGCCCCGAGCTCGTTGTGTAGACGCTCGCTATCGTGGACCCCTCACAATGACCTGCACCCACCGCACGGTCGTCAAGTCTGCTGACAGAGGTGTTCCGACCCACATCAATATGTGTTCTCGAAGGCCCGCTTCCCAGAGACACCACCGTAGCCAGTCGATGTATGTGCTAAGCACACGGTGTAAGAAGGAGAGGTGACCGAACAGCGCTCCTGTAGCGTGGCCCTGTAATGGACGGAGTTCTCCGGCGCGATAGCAGATGGCGCCACAAACTCCGGCCCGTCGCTTCGCGAAGCGGCCCTGTCAGGACGGAGGGCTTGCGGCTTGCTAAGCCGCAAATAAAAGCCATTGGGGTTCATTATGATCGTAGATTTTTCCTTACATCGCAAACGAGGGCTTGCCGCGCAACTAGTTCGACAGATCTCGCTAGCTGCTGGCGCTCACAACGATCATCAGCACAGTCGCAACGGGCAGTTCGCGGTGTCTCGCGCATTTCGCCTTCCGCGCTCGAAACATCGTCTGCTAAAACTTCCTACTTCAGTTTACAATAAATACATACGCTACCGCTAGCGGGTTTCCGGGAAGACGCTTTTGTTGGTTTCCGAGTCTAATTTACGAAGACTAACAAGCTACTTGTACTTCCTGAATGTTAGCAAGTATCGTGAATCAATCATGCGACCATAGTATTTTGGGGGATTTCACTTGTTGGTAATGCAAATAAGAAAATGGTGGACTTTTATTTTATGCTTTCGGTGGCATATAAATAATAGGACAGATTCTCTCAATTCTTATTGCCTGTTTAATGTGCCTTCAAAGCAAAAAGCAAGGTCACTTCTGTCACTGTAGCACAGCTAGGTCACTGTAAAGATCACTTTCACAAGGTCACTGTAAAGCACAGAGCAACTCGGACAAGCTTGGACCGCTTCCTCATTTCTTGGCTTTTCTTTGCCTCCTTTTGTCGCTGCTGCTTGCAGTGCTGCCGCATCCTCATGCAAATGTAGTAGTGCAGCACCTTCGCCATTACGTCTGCTTTGTGCAGGGAACATGAGAACATGAAAAGATATGTAAGCAGCACATGGTCCAGTGTCTTATTGTACACACAGTTGTCGCTGGGCTGTTTCGCGAACTCCTTTTCCGTTGCCTTCAGGAGGTAGTATATGTTCAAGTTTAGATGGATGAGCTTACCACGCGTTTTGCAATTCACCAGATCTGCCTCTGGAATGCCACAGAATCCAGTTTGTTTAATGAGTCCATCTCTGCAGGTAGCACACACGGTCTTTTTACCAATATTTCTGCAAAGATAACCGGTGACGTAGTAGATTATGCAATCTACCGTATCTGCCATCCTGTAGTCATGCTCCAGGACATCTTCACATTCCCAACTTCCTACCTCAATGAGTCCATCGAGTCTCGCTCTCAGGCTGTCAAGCCTGCTCGTTTGCTGCTCATCTGGCTGAAATGCCAACCTCATATCACCAAGAGTGATGCAAGGTCTTTTCTCTTCGGCATTTACCGTGCAGTTCCCAAATTTTCGTGGTTTGAGAAGGGTGTACAGGGAAAGCATGCGATAAAGCTGGAGAAATGTAGGGAACGTAGGGGATTCGTTCTGACCTCCAGCTTGCCGAATCGTTCCGAAGAAACACTCGAGACGGTCTTGATTCAGTTTTGCTGTTAGGATGTAGTCAAAGCCACACTCAGTCAGTAGATAATTTGACAGTTGAACAACTGACTTTAAAGTCACCCTGAGGCCTTCTGCAGTAGAGGGGAGTCAAAAAGAAGTCCTTGTGAATTTTTCTACTGACAACTTCTTCTTCCCATTTGTCAAGCCACTGTAACGCGTCTTCAATGACTTGGAAGTCATTTCCACCCAGTCGCACTCCCTCAGCCGGAAACCGACGATTCAAGGCATCAAACAGATTGTTCATGAGTAGAGTAAACTGCACTGTGGGGTCTCCACATCATACAAGCGGGGCGCACCCTGCTTAGCGTAGAACTGAAGCCCCTTGGCAACAGACTCGCTAAATATCTGCGTTGCCAGCTTTACTCTCATCTTCAACATGTTTGAAGGGTTCACATGATTGTATGTGATTTTCGGGCATGCTCTTTCATCCCCTGCGTGCTTTGTATCTCCTACATACAAAGCGTCATAGCATGACCACCGTACACACTTCCCATTGATGTGGAACTCCTTTTTGCTGTAGAGGCGGTTTCTAATGCATTTAAATAAATGCGGTGCATCTGAGAGCATGTAAACTTGCCTCGAACTGTCAGATGGGTGTTCAAAAGAGTTGGTGGTACTTTCCAAGACACCACTAACTCCGAAATGCTTCCACATGCTACGATTGGTTGATGTACCATCACAAACAACTCCATCGATGCGTATTCCAGCTTGTTCAAGTTTTAGGATGCATTAGAGGAGCAGCTGTGAAAGCACAGTTCCTTTCGTTGGTCCTTTCGATGCAAAAACTGCAACAGGCTGGAGATAGCTGTCAGCAAATGGAGCAAAAGCAAATACAAGTCCATGGTCGGCAAGCTCCTTACAGTCTCCATCGTCCTGCCCATGGTCAACTAACCCGGAGTATGTCATGGTCTTCGAATTCACAGCCAGTTCTTTCCTGACTTGAATTTCATCAAGCACCAGCATTTCTCTTCGTTCCATAGGACTCTTGGTTGCCATCTTTGTTGTGAGGGCTGCCAGAAACCGCTCATCAAAGCCGCACTTCAGTCCCATCATGCTGACGTATTTCCTGATGGTAGTGACACAGGGCAGCGGGAGGATGTCATTGTTCCTCAAGAACGAGTACGTAGAGGAACTGCGGATATGAAGAAGAGACACAGTAACAGCCAGTCATCTGTGTATCTTCGGTTTCTCTTATTTGTGCATTTTGCTGCTGAAAGACACTCTGAAATGAGAAGTAGCTGTGCTGACGGAATGTCGTGCTGCTGCAGGCGGTGCTGGAGGTCTTCATTTTGAAGCGACTTCATCTTTTTAATTGACTGCTTCAGTTCCATCAATAGCACCTTGTTCCTTGCCAAAAGGCGCGCCTTGACCTTGTCAGTGACGTCTTGGCCCTTCGGAGTGTTTCAATTTTTCCTCTTTCTTTATAGATTGCACCGGTATCCTACCACGCTGAAGCACCCTCCGTCCCTTCTTTCTGGCCACCTGACGAGACGTATGGATGCGGAGGGTGTCACAAAGAGAGCTGCAAGCCTTGCAGAAACTTCCTTCGGCCACTGTCATTGTGCACCTTGAATGCCTCCATTTTCCTAGAAGATCGCCATAAGCACACTCAGGCTCCGCTTTGGGATATTCCTTGATGCTCGGTCCTCCTGAGCAAACCTTGATTGCTTCTACGGCGTTCACAACTTGTTCCACATCAGAAAGGGTCGTCACGCTCGCAATTAGCCCAGCGGCGGCAGGTTTGAGGGGCTTCCCGAGCAGAACAATGTTCACACCACGGTGGAAGAATAATAAGAGGTGTGTGAACGAAGGCCGTTGAGGGCATCGACGGTTCAGTTGCGCTTCCGTTCCCTTCGGCAGGTGGCAGCACTTGTGTCGG